GCTGAACGATGGGGGGTGGAGATGATCCTTCAGGTATACTGGACCGAGGCTGTTTAGGGCTTTAAAGGTCAGCACCAACACTTTGAATTGTGCTTGGAAACGTACCGGGAGCCAATGTAGGTCTTTCAGGACTGGTGTTATATGTTAACATCCTGCATTTATGTTACTGTGTTTTATTTATTTCTAATTAATCCAAAGCTTTGCTATGCTTTTGCAAATCATGGGTTGAAAACGGAACCACAAGCAGTGAGAAGGTAGGGTGACTGCACATCCCTTTCTGCTGTCCACACGACAATATTTCTGATCACTTTTTTGATAATGTTTACTGGCATTCTACGGACACAGGTGGCACTGTGGGTTAAACCACAGAGCCTAGGACTTGCCAATCAGAAGGTCGGCGGTTCGAATCCCAACGACGGGGTGAGCTCCCGTTGCTCGGTCCCTGCTCCTGCCAACCTAGCAGTTCAAAAGCACGTCAAAGTGCAAGTAGATAAATAAGTACCGCTCCGGCGGGAAGGTAAACGGTGTTGCTGTGTGCTGTTCTGGTTCGCCAGAAGCGGCTTAGTCATGCTGGCCACAGGACCCGGAAGCTGTACGCCGGCTCCCTCAGCCAATAAAGTGAGATGAGTGCCGCAACCCCAGAGTCGTCCGTGACTGGACCTAATGGTTAGGGGTCCCTTTACCTTTACCGGCGTTCTGTTTATGTATCTTTCATGTTACTTGTAAACTGCCTTGTGAGGATTTGTATCCAGAAAGGAAGGACATATATAATTACAATGAGGGAGAGTGTGTGTGTACATGCATGTACACACATACATACTAGGGTTGCCATATTTTGAAGAGCAAAAAGGAGGACACATTTGCCGGCTTCTGCTTTTGACTGTGGATCACTATGACGACTGTCATTTTACGTACCCTAATACACACACTGTATGGCGATGGTGAGAAACATATAATAGTAGTAAAAAAAAAAATTCTGGGTGAATTGAGAATAATCACAGAGCCCCCTGCTGGTACTGTACAAAGCTAACTATGACACTGAAAATTGTGGCGAAAGAAAGAAGACAAGGATAATTCAAAGTACACAGTGGGGTTATATACGCTTGAAGTGTATATCAATTTTATAGCAATTAAGCTGTCATGGCTCTCCCACTGCCTCCCAAAATCCTGGGAACTGTAGTATGTCCTCCATTTGAGAGCCTTGCCATGCTCTTGGCTGATTTGATTGACATCCTACGCTTTTTTAAAATGGGGTGGTGGAGGAAGGGGAGTAATGGGTTGTTGTTTTTAGTTTAATTATATATTTTGTGGTTTTATATTTTGATTTTGTTCTGTGAACGGCCCTGAGACCTCTGGGTATAGGGTGGTATTTAAATTCAATAAATCATCATCATGCTCCACCACTATAGTCCCCCGATTCTCCAGGTGAGGGAATGGCTGTTGAGCAAAATTAATGTCTATGTAATGCAATAGAAAACCTCTTCAGGACAGCTTTATTCTGCCTTTCCCTTTAACCCCTCCACCCAATTTCTCCGCAGAAGGCCTCCGAGAATTACAGCATCTCGTTGGCTGAACCCTGCAACAAAATCTTGGCAGGATCTTCGTTAACGCTCACAACTATTTGTGTGGCTTTCCTGCAATAAGCCCCCCAGGGCAGCTTTCTTAAATGTGTAATACCTTAAAGATTTCAGTTCCGTTTGACGTCAGCAGAAAGCTGCGCTGAGCTCTCCGCAGCCACAGCCGTGTAGCAATTTCCTGCCCTATACCTAATGTTAATGAGCCACAAGTTTCTGTGATTCCCAGAGTTTTTTTTGGGGGGGGGAGTCCAACTGCACCAGGCCAAAACCTTGTGGATGTCTCATTCAGATGCTGGACTTCGGCCCCCCAGCCACATGTTCATGGACCACTCATCACTCACAAGCACCTACAGACCTGCTGGATGCAGTTAATTTATTTACACAAACTTCCCTGGCCCTTCCCAATTTTCCCCAAACAAGGCTCTTGAATCTCTCAGTCCTCCTGAGACCAATGCTTCATCAGGGAAGGGACAAATCCCTCCAGCCCATCCTAGAAATTATTTTCAGAAATGACTAATTTCCCAGATGCGTGGTAAGTTCATCCAAACTCCAGACTGAGTTCAGATTGGACTCCTAGGCCTAATAGTGATTATATCATCATCGTACACCAGAACTGTGGGATGTAATCCACTGGGAGCAGTCAAGTACAACATTCCTTGTTTTGCTAGAGTGGACATGCAAGGGAATGTTTGGTCCAGCCAGTCGAAACTTCCTGTTCCTCTTGGCCTGGAGCATCCTTCCTTGCATGGGACTAGTGGGTGGGCGTGACCTTTCCAGACTTGGTAAAAGGCCAAGGCATGTTGCCACTCTCTCTCTTTTCCATCTTCCTTTCATCCTGTCAACTTCCTGGAATGAACTGCTGGCTGCCAGCCAAGCAGCCCCCCAGGTTATCTCCCATATGGGGTAAACCTGTTTGTACAGGTTTGTAAATTTAAGCCTAAAGGCTGCCTTCAGGGATCAGACTGTGCTCTGCCTGATCGTCAGTAGACTTTCTTTTTATTGCTTATGAATAAGACTGTGGTGTCTTTTTTATTTTAGGAGGGATTCAAGGGGTCTTACCAGGAAAATATTAGGACACATTTCAGTCTGGACAAGCCAAACTGAATTGCGTATTGTCTTAAGAAACTCACACGAGTTTGCAACTAGTTTTCTGCTGTGTGAAGGGGAATGCACTCTGCTAAATAAAGGAACCAGCTAGCGCAAGTTAGGAAGGATATTAATAAACACTATATCCTCTCCTGCCACCCTGAACATTCCCACAAGAACCAACTGATGAAGCCTTCCTTGGCCTTCAGACTATGACTTTCCTTGACGCCACCTCTCATATTGTGTTGCGCTACTTGCTAGAAGCATCTTAAAATGCAGAGACATCACCTTGCAAACAAAGGTCCGTATAGTAAAAGCTCTGGTTTTCCCAGTAGTGATGTATGGAAGTGAGAGCTGGACCATAAAGAAGGGTGATCGCTGAAGAATTGATGCTTTTGAATTATGGTGCTGGAGGAGACTCTTGAGAGTCCCATGGACTGCAAGAAGATCCAACCTCTCCATTCTGAAGGAAATCAGCCCTGAGTGCTCACTGGAAGGACAGATCCTGAAGCTGAGGCTCCAGTACTTTGGCCACCTCATGAGAAGAGAAGACTCCCTGGAAAAGACCCTGATGTTGGGAAAGATGGAGGGCACAAGGAGAAGGGGACGACAGAGGACGAGATGGTGGGACAGTGTTCTCAAAGCTACCAGCATGAGTTTGACCAAACTGCAGGAGGCATTGGAAGACAGGAGTGCCTGGCGTGCTCTGGTCCAGGGGGTCACAAAGAGGCGGACACCACTAAACGACTAAACAACAACAACTTGCTAGAAGGCAGCAAGGAGAGCTGCATCCATGGCAATGCAGGTTTCATTGTGTACCAAGTCCTGAAGGCCTCTTATGAGCCTGGAGCCTGGAGGGTCTGGTCCAGAATTGATCCCTGGGAGACGATGCCTAAAATCCCAGAGTTGGACCTCCCCCCACAACACACACGCTTCAAGCTTTTCCACCATCTGCAATGTTCACTGGATCAGAAATCCAAAAGAACTACCAAACCACCCAGACTTGCCCAAATAAGAGAGGAAACCTGGCACCCTCCAGATGTTTGGGTCTGAAGTTCACATCAGTCCCAGTCAGCAGGGCCTATGGGAGTTGTAGTCCAAAACATCTGAAGTTAGGGAAAGGCATCCTCTGGTCTTGATAGCAGAAAGACCACACACATTTATGAGCCTACAAAATTCTAAGCAGCGGGGCTGCAGTCATTCTGCTCCCACTAGTGGGGTGGATGGCATAAGTCTCCCTCTTGGACTACAGCAACACGCTCCATGTGGGACTACCTTTGAAGGTGACCCGGAAACTGCAATTAATCCAGAATGCGGCAGCTAGACTGGTGACTGGGAGTGGCCGCCGGGACCACATAACACCGGTTCTGAGAGATCTGCATTGGCTCCCAGTACGTTTCCGAGCACAATTCAAAGTGTTGGTGCTGACCTTTAAAGCCCTAAACGGCCTTGGTCCTGTATACCTGAAGGAGCGTCTCCACCCCCATCGTTCAGCCTGAGATCCAGTGCCGAGGGAAGTGAGGTTACAGGGAACCAGACAGAGGGCCTTCTCAGTAGTGGTGCCCGCCCTGTGGAACGCCCTCCCTTCAGATGTGCAGGAAATAAGCAGCTATCCTATCTTTAAAAGACATCTGAAGGCAGCCCTGTTCAGGGAAGTTTTTAATATTTAACGCTGTACTGTTTTTAACACTTGATTGGGAGCCGCCCAGAGTGGCTGGGGAAACTCAGCCAGATGAGCAGGGTATAAATAATAAATTATTATTATTAGTAGTAGTAGTATGGTGAAGAGGAAAGCAATCACTGGGCTAGGAAATCAGCGCCTGTTTCAAAAAGCATTGTGAAGAACTAGAACTATTAAGCTTGGGCAACCTGATCAGAATCACCCACTGAAACCAGGGCAATTAAAGCAGCACAGCAGCCTATATCTGTTCTGTACACTGCCCTCCCCAAAGCATATAACCTGGTCCAGCGATTCATGCACATAGCATTGGCGATGAACAAGGATCTGAGAGGGGAATCGCCCAGCAGATTTATTTATTTCATAACATTCATATATTGCTTGATTGTAAAAGAGCAGAGCAAAGCAGAGGGTAAGTGTCATTAGATTTGATATCAGTCACGTCTTGGGGAGGAGCGAATGTGACTGGTACAAATAAAACTGACCACAGCCATGTTTGAAGATGCAAGTGAATCCATCTGCTGCTCCAGATGCTGATTCCAGGGTCTTTCAACTACAGAAGGCGCCACATTGTGCCTGGGGGACCTGCTCCAGCACCGTGGTCAGAGAAGGATGATACAATAAAGGAAATCAGGGGTGATTAAAGGGACTCCTCTTACCTGTTTCTTCCAGAATCCCTGAACCCTTTTGCAAATGGATTCCGGTCAATTTTTAATCGTGTAATCTGTAACAGAATGTAAATTAACTTAGATTCTATGGAGAATATTTCATTCCTGAACACTTTGCATAACTTTGATCATTCCACAATTACTCTTCTTTTCATTGGTGCTTCATGCCATTTCACACGGTCCCCCAGTTAAACAGTTTGCAGTTGAGTTAGGGGCATGCGCAATGAATGATTGCTTCCATAAATGGTAAATTAACAGTTCTATGTCACTGTAAATTCTGGGTTGCATTCAATTGCATTTTATTCAGAATTAAATTACACACACACACCTTGTATTGTATATTGTGTGTGGTGTGTGCGTGTATTTGTTTCTTCAACTTGTAAATCAGCTATCCCTGATCAATACCCCTTGCTCTTCCTAAAATCCCATGTCGCTTATTCTATGAGACCTTTAGGCATCCCTGCCACCTTCATCTACAGCACTGTTTCCCAAACTTGGGTCTCCAGCTGTTTTTTGGACTACAGCTCCCATCATCCCTAGCTAGCAGGACCAGTGGTCAGTGATGATGGGAACTGTAGTCCAAAAACAGCTGGAAATGCAAGTTTGGGAAACACTGATCTATAGCTAAAATGAAGACTGCATTTGCTCACACCTAACCATATTTATCCTTCCCTCCGCTCCTTTTATCATTTCTCCTTGATATGCTGTGTTGGCTTTTAGGAGGTTTTGTTGCTATAAAAATAGCAAATCTCAGAAAAGCATTCTATCTTCAAAGCTGCAATTGGTGTTTCTAGATTTCCATCTCTCTCGTATCTTGGTATTTGTTTTTCCAACTACAGTGAGCTCAAGAAAGCAGCAAAGTGCACTTTGCAGTCCTTTGCATGTCAGCTGTTTCTGGGAGAATGGCAAAGTTCACAGACGGCAATTCCTACTTTAGCCTGTCCTGTTCAGGAATTTGCTGAACAATGCCTGATGGCATTAAAACTGGAACCAGCATACATTACTTTGTAGGATCTATAGTACAGGGCAAAGAGTTTTGATCTTGTCAGGGGACCGAGTAAAGAAAACAGATTGTGCTTTCATATGCTTTAAGCTACATACTATGTAATGACACTGTGCATCTTACATTGCAGCTGGTTGACCTCACAAGAGAGAGATTTCATGAAGGATTTGGGAAAAGAAAACAGATACCCATTATGAGGAAAGCCTGGTCTCAACCCGTGAACACTTCTCCGTGTTTTCCTGAGTTCCTAACGCGAACAATTTTTTAATAGCTGTGTAAGTAGCTTAAAGTCATAAAGTCGCAGAAAGGGTTTCTTTGTCTTCTGCAAAATTCAGCGTGTATTTACGATTTTGAGATTTGAAATATACATATGTAGTCGAAACGCTGTTGGGCTATCTTGACATTAATGTTAGGTCGGTTCCTACTGGAATTCTTCCAAAGACTTAATATTTCCATATCAACAGCCTGTAAACTCAACTGTCCATGTTGCAAATCTCCTTCTGTTCCTGATTTATGACAAATTCTGTTCCTCTGTGGAATTTGTGTGGGGGGTTTTTTTTTCCACAAGTTGGGTTACACCACCTGCCTTTTTCTTTCAAAGCTAACTTATGCTGTCATTTTCGCTTGCTCTGCTGACTTATTGCTGAGACCACCACTCTGCTCCTGCATTGTAACAGTACTTGGCTTGTTGTGACACTTTTGCTGATAGATTTGTTTATAAATGTATTAATTAGTGGGCCATAGTTTGGCACAAAGGGACGCAGGTGGCGCTGTGGGTAAAACCTCAGCGCCTTGGGCTTGCCGATCGCATGGTCAGCGGTTCAAATCCCTGCGGCGGGGTGAGCTCCCGTCTTTCGGTCCCAGCTCCTGCCCACCTAGCAGTTTGAAAGCACCCTTAAAAGTGCAAGTAGATAAATAGGTACAGCTCCGGTGGGAAGGTAAATGGTGTTTCTGTGTGCTGCGCTGGTGCTGGCTCGCCAGAGCAGCTTCGTCACGCTGGCCATGTGACCCGGAAGTGTCTGCGGACAGCGCTGGCCCCCGGCCTCTTAAGTGAGATGGGCGCACAACCCTAGAGTTGGACATGACTGGCCCGTACGGGCAGGGGTACCTTTACCTTTTAGTTTGGCACAGACAGCATAGCTTTCATTTAAGAGCAGATCGAAACCTGTTCGGCAGTTAACAGATGGGCTGCTAGATCATCTTTTTCATTACCTGCTGGTTCTGATAAGCAGTGACGGTGGTAAAGACAGTCTCTGGGAAGTTGAAGGTTTTCACCCCATCCCCTGTGGGGACTGGCTTCGTGGGAGACAGGTCACTGCTGAAGTCTTTGCGGATAACATGGACGCGGGGCTGATACTTGTGCATTGAGTGCAGGATTATCTTTGGGGAAACAGAGGAAAGGCAAGGGAGATTTACTTGAAATTCACCATTCTAAAAATTTCAGAGCTGGTATTTGGGGATGGGTACTGAACAAATGACTCCCAAACTAGTAGCCTGATAAGGGTAGAATTATACTACAGTGGTACCTCGGGTTACATACGCTTCAGGTTACATACGTTTCAGGTTACATGCTCCACTAAGCCAGAAATAGTGTTTCAGATTAAGAACTTTGCTTCAGGATAAGAACAGAAATCGGGCTCCGGTGGCACGGCAGCAGCAGGAGGCCCCATTAGCTAAAGTGGTGCTTCAGGTTAAGAACATGAGAGAACCTCCAGAAGGCCCTCAGAGGTGGACCTCAGCGTCTGGGCTGAATGATGGGGATGGATACGTTTTAAAGGTCAGCACCAACACTTGGAATTGTGCTCAGAAACATACTGAGAGGCTGCGTAGATCTTTTAGAACCGGTGTTTTATGTTCCCTGCAGTCACTCCCAGTCCCCAGTGGAGCTACAGTGGTACCTCTGGATGCAAACAGGATCCGTTCCAGAGCCCCGTTTGCATCCTGAAGTGAACGTAGCATGCGACTGCACGTCTGTGCATGCACGGGTCGTGTTTCGCCACTTCTGCGCATGCGCGTGACATCATTTTGAGAGTCTGCGCATGCACAAGCGGCAAAACCCAGAAATAACGCATTCCGTTTCTTCCAGGTTGCCGCGGAGCGCAACCCAAAAGCGCTTAACCTGGAGCGTATTCATCCCGAGGTATGACAGTAGTCCCTAAACCTTCTTACCGCTGGCTGCCAGTGTCCAGGGTGGGACAGCATGCACACACTGGGCAGGGGGACACCAGCCCAGTCCTCACTGCCAGAATGACCCCACCCCCACTGGAGCAAAACAGGGCTTCCCTGAGCCGCCTTCTCACCCATGCAGGGGGGAGTCTAACCAGATGACATGACCCTTGGTGGCTGGAAAGGAGCACTGGGCTAGGCCTGCATGGGGGCACCCCCACACACACACACACACACTGTGCCCCTGCCTTCCTATGGCCCTGCAGGAAGAGCAGAAACTGCACCTTGAAGGCAGTGGTGGAGCAAACTGATTGGGCACCTGGGACGGCGCATATACCCTGCACCCAGGGGTGGGGCCAACGGCCCGCAGGGAGGGGCAGGATGCTCCACAGGGCTTCCGAGGATTCTGCCTGCCTCCTCCCTCTCAGCCCTACAGCTGAGGGGGAGGCGGGGGGGACTGTTGGGGCAGCACGGAGCCTGCAGGCACCCAAGTCACGGCGTCACTCCCAGGAGAGACGCATGGCTCGGGCACGTTGCAGGCCCCACGATGAGTGCCACCCGGCATTTTGTCACCCCCCTCAGTGGTGACACCCAGGGCTGCCCGCCCCCACCGCACCCCCCTTCCTCTGCCCCTGCTTGGAGGAAGGGCTTTGAGCTAAGGAATACATCCCTGTAGTGTGTGGTGCCCAGAGCTGAAAGGGGCAGGTCTGAAGCAAAAGGATGGTGAAAAGGGAATGTGCTTCTTAATAACTTACATGGCCTTGGTCGTCTAGTTCGTTGTTGGTCAGTTTGAGTTTATCAAAACTGACAACCTGCCGCATCCAGGTGTCCCCAGATGCCAGCGAGTCAGGGTGAATATAAACCCTTGGGGGCACAGGGGAGTCTGCGTTGCCCGCTACCATCCACTTGGAGCTGTGATACACATACCTGCGAGAGACGAGGATGTGAGAAAGGAGGCTTTATTATTCAAATTGCAGACACAGACAACACCTGTAGTCCCCCTCCCTTAAAAGCTTTCCTTCTGCACTCACCCAACAGCGTTCAGGCTCAGGTTATATGCACAGGAAGGAAACCATGTGCTTCATCTTTAATGGAAACCAGATGATACCTGGAACCAGTTCCTCCCTTTTGCATCTCTATTAATCCTCTTTTCCAATTACTGTCCCTAGAAAACTTTGCACATGGGACAGACTAATTGGTTAACCCTACTAATCCACAGATGAAAGCCTTTAGAGATATAATAGGAATATTTCATTACTTGCAGATGACTCTTCTAACACACTCTGCACCTGCAAATGCCATTTGCTTCTCAGTTTACACGGCGGAGGTCCCATGATTTCATCTCTAAAAATCCTTAGTTCAGACTCCATTTCTGTGTGCTGCAACAATGTCCATGAACATTTTAGTGTCCACCCTGTTATCTTGATCGTAATCTGCTTCAACTGTTTTTAATATAATATATTTAAATTGTTCTAACCCGCCCTGAGATCTCATGGTGAAGGGCGAGTAAAAATATATATAACTGATGAAGAGGATAGCAAGCTGAAAGTTTTCTATTCAGTGAAAGTTACTAACATCAGAATCCGCACCCAAAATCTGCTGGGAATGAGAGAGTTTGGAATTGGCAGGTCTTGGGCTTTCCCAGTTGAGCCAGAGCTCAGCCAAGCTTATACCAGAGTGAGACCCTCACCCCAGCTGTGCTGGAGATACACTGGTCTAAATATACAACTTGGCTCAATGACGACTCAGCCAATGGAACTTAAGTCAGCATAACTTACTCTGCTGTAACTCCCCAAATAGGGGGCATGGCTGGGATGGGACCAGGAGAAAGTTACACCTATTCCAAACCCATACTCCTGATCAGAGTATGAAATCAAATCAAATCAAAATCTTTGCCAGCATAAGGTAAAAGCACCTACATACATAAGTAAAGGTAAAGGGACCCCTGACCATTAGGTCCAGTTGTGACCAGCTCTGGGGTTGCAGCACTCATCTCGCTTTATTGGCCGAGGGAGCCTGCGTACAACTTCTGGGTCATGTGGCCAACATGACTAAGCTGCTTCTGGCAAACCAGAGCAGCGCACGGAAACGCCGTTTACCTTCCCTCCGGAGCAGTATCTATTTATCTACTTGCACTTTGACGTGCTTTCGAACTGCTAGGTTGGCAGGAGCTGGGATCGAACAACGGGAGCTCACCCCATCGCGGGGATTCGAACCACCGACCTTCTGATCAGCAAGTCCTAGGCTCTGTGGTTTAACCCACAGCACCACCTGAGAGCATGCTAAATAAACAACAGGGCAACTACAGAGGTAGGGGGTACACATACCCGTTCTCTCAATTATGAGAGTCCAGAATAAAATCAAAGCATGTAAGTTACATAAATCAAACAAAATATAAACTTTGTAGGGGTGAACCTTCAGTTGTGTGGCACACACCTTCCTCCGATATATGTCAATCATAGCAGCACAATATCTGGCGACGAGGTATGTTATATCAGGGTTTATATCTTGGAGCAGTAAAGAGATAGAGAACTGCTCTATGTATCCTGGGAATTTGTGTATTATTGGCAGAATGAAGCTGGCACGTATATTTGTATTATACTGGCGGGTGGGGGGACGGACACATATTCAGTTGTTTCTGTTTGCTCAGAGCCACACAGGAGGAGAATGAAATAGGAGTTACTTTCAGCAAGGTAAGCAGTGCTATTTTCCAAAAAAAGTATGTTTAGGGGCACTCTCATTTTCCTACTCATATTGAAATACTGCCCCTCAATGAGGCCAAACTTAGATTCACAAAATGTTTAGGGGTATGTGTACCCCTGTGTCCTCCCAGAAAAAAAGCACTGAAGTGTCAGGGACTGGTCAGAGGAGGAATGGTGGAGGAGGAAGAGGAAGACAGTATAGATTTATAACAGGGGTTTGAAGAAGGCTGCAGCTCAGAGGCAGATGAGGGGGGAAGTTGGGAAATCATGGGAGAGCCAGAGGAACACCTGGGTGACACATTGTCATTAGATAGCATCCCAGACCCTCCATCTCCCAGAATCTGGTGAGTCTTAAAAGTAGGAGAGCAAAGAGCTCAAAGACAGAGGGCAAATAGTGGCACCCGCAGAGGAGGAGGTGATGATGATGATGATGATGATGATGATGATGATGATGAATGAGGAGGTGGGAGAGACGGGGTGTGTGGAGATTCACTCAGGACAACGCCATTATCCAAGAGGCTGGGTTCTACAGCCTCTCTCTGTAAAGATTTAAATAAAAAAGGACTGTAAGAAGCTTTTCCTTGTCTTTATACTTTCCCGGGCGACCAGCCGGGAGCTGCTGACAGCATCCTGACAGTAAGATAAGACAATCTAAGGTCTGCCAGTTCCCTATAGTTAGAATTGTGTGTGTCAGGTCTACATTACTGGACCTAATGCTCCCATGGGCCCAAATTTATATGGCTGTAAATCTATCTATTCTATTATTATTACTTTTTTCTGGGGGGACGCAGGGGTACACATACCCCTAAACATTTTGTGAATCTAAGTTTGGCCTCATTGAGGGGCAGTATTTCAATATGAGTAGGAAAATGAGAGTATCCCTAAACATTTTTAAAGAAAAAAAGCACTGATGATGATGATGATTTTATAAACGTGTGTGTGAGAGAGAGGGAGCGTGTGCACGCACTATTTTTTAACCAGGTGTGTTATGGCACACCCCAATACACATACAAGCGTCTCTCTTCTCTTTTAAAAAGCAATTCTGACCGTTTTGGGTCTGGCGCTGAGCTTTTGCTCTTGCTCGCTCAGGCTCTCTCGTTCTCAATGGAGCACTTAGTTAATAGTTCCCATTCTTTAGCAGCTCTTACCTGTACCTCTTGTTATCCACAGGCACAATGTCCATGGCGATGTAATACTGCTGATGGGGGTCCAGGCCGGTAATCTTCACTCTCATTGCAGGAAACATTCTCCTAGAAATATGAAGGTTGAAAAGGAAGGAGGAAAGTGGTCAACGTAGTCATCCTGATGAGCCGAAGAGAGCTGCTCTGTTGAGACAGAACTCTGCAGGGGCCTACAGATTATGGCTGGGCTTGGTGACAAAGTATTACTTTCTACCAGCAAGCTGTGAAGTTCATTCCCCTCTATAAAGTGCCTCTTAATTCACACACTTGCCCCATGTGAATTGTCTTTTTGGGTGCCCATACTTCGTTGCTGAGAGTTCTGCCTACAGAAAGTGGCAGGAAATCCTCAGAACTGAGACTCTTGACAGCGTTAGGTAAGAAGAGCACTCTATTTAAGCATCACACTTAAGGAGGAGGTCCTTAGCTCAGTGATAGAGCACATGTCAGGGAAAATGGAAAGAATCCATTTAAAACTGAATCTATCAAATTCCAAAATACCACGAGACTCTTAATCTCAGCTTTGTGGGTTCAAGTTCCACATTGGGCAAAAGATTCCTGCATTGCAGGGGCTTTGACTAGACGACCCTCATGATTTCTTCCAACATCAAACATTAAAAACTTCCCTAAACAGGGCTGCCTTCAGATGTCTTCTAAAAGTCAGATAGTTGTTCATTTCCTTGACATCTGATGGGAGGGCGTGCCACTACCGAGAAAGCCCTCTGCCTGGTTCCCTATAACCTCACTTCTCGCAGTGAGGGAACTGCCAGAAGGTCCTCGGAGCTGGACGTCAGTGTCCTGGCAGAACGATGGGGGTGGAGATGCTCCTTCAGGTATGCAGGGCCAAAGCTGTTTAGGGCTTTAAAGGTCAGCACCAACACTTTGAATTGTGTTTGGAAATGTAAAAAGCATAACAAAACATCAAACATTAAAAGCTTCCCGATACAGGACTTCCTTCAGATGTCTTCTAATAGTTGTGTAGTTATTTATCTCCTTGACATCCGATGCTATGATTTCTATGATTCTATAAGACCCAAAACACAGCCACCCTGCAAAAATTCACATTTATCCGAATTTTGTGATGCAGTTCCCCAACCAATCATAGAATTGCAGAGTTGAAAGGGACCCAAAGGATCATCTAGTCATATCCCTTGGAAGGCAGTAATCTCAACTAAAGCACCCATCACAGAAATGCAATTGCTAGGGGGTAAGCGTGCAGAAAAATTAGTACAGTAGTGCCTCCGGTTACGTAACCCTCTAGTTACATAACCTTCAGGATGCGAAAGTGGCAAACCTGGAAGTATTTTACCGGGTTTTGCCACACACACATGCACAGAAGTGGTCCTCAGGTTGTGGAAGCCTCGGGATCCAACCAGACCTCTGGAACAGATCCCATCCACAACTGGAGGCACCACTGTATATTAGTGAAAATAGTGTACAAAATTACATCATATTAGAAGAAAATGCTTGCAAAAAAAGTGTACATCTGTCAAAACTGGCAACAAAAGTTTGTTTATTAGGAGAGATTTGCACTAAAATGCTGAATAATTTTCATGAGGATTTCTTTTAAAAAATCACAAGTTCCTGCAGAAATCTTGAGGAACAGACGGTGACAATTATACAAAGCTAGATGAACCAGTTGTCTGAATTGGTATAAAGTAACTATCTAAGCTTCTATGTTCTTTATCAACACGACAAAGTGTTGCACTATTTTGGCAATGTGCTACCTATCTCTTCAGTAACTAAATGTAACTAACCTGAATTTGGAATGGCTAATTTCCTCCTGGAATGTTTTATGTCAAGTTGCACATTTTTTAAAAAGTTCTGCAACACAGAGCCTGAACAAGGTCTTCCACTGTGGATATAAATTTGTAGAAACACTGCCCAACATATTTCGTTTGCTGCACAGAGCCTTTCTTAGCTACGAGTTTATAAATCCACTGCATATTAAATAATAACCATCCATCCCCACATGGTATCAATATAACTCAGACAAGACTAGTCATGCTTCAGTCAAAAGGAAAGAAATTATCTTCATACAGAGCACAACAAACATCAAGAAAGTGAACCACAGGCTTCAGGTCATATCACACATGATACGCTTGTGTGATGATGGAATTGCACGTGAACCTCTCAGAAAAAAACATGTACACATTTTAGAGATGGGAGTACATACCACCCAAGCCGGAAATGACCATTCATATGGTTTTATATAGCCTTCTCTATCATGCACAGACAGGCATCATACGAGCGATAAAACTCATACACTCTCCTAACAAACGCTGGGGACAAACAGGATGCCTTGTGCACCAGCCACTTTTAAGAATGTCAAAGGCATTTGGCTGGCATCGCTACAGAGGCATTTGGAGACATTTTATTGTTCTACAATAATAATAATTTATTATTTATACCCCGCCAATCAGCTGCCAATAAAATATTAAAAACACGATAAAACATCAAACATTAAAAACTTCCCTAAACAGGGTTGCCTTCAGGTGTCTTCTAAAAATCAGATATTTGTTTATTTCCTTGACATCTGATGGGAGGGCGTTCCACAGGGCAGGCAGAGAAAACCTTCTGTAACCTCACTTCCTGCAGTGAGGGAACCACCAGAAGGTCCTTGGAGCTGGACCTCAGTGTCCGGCTGAATGATGGGAGTGGAGATGCTCCTTCAGGTATGCAGGGCCAAAGCCGTTTAGGGCTTTAAAGGTCAACACCAACACTTTGAATTGTGCTTGGAAACATAAAAAGCATAACAAAACATCAAACATTAAAAGCTTCCCGATACAGGGCTTCCTTCAGATGTCTTCTAATAGTTGTGTAGTTCTTTATCTCCTTGACATCCGATGGGAGGGTGTTTCACAGGGAGGGAAGGACTATTGGGAAGAACACACCCCCACGTTTCCCCTAATTCATTGTCCAAATGAATTCATCCTAAATTAACCCACAGTCCATTCATTTCCCCTGTGCAAATAAGTCACCCCCCATCTCTTTCTCTCCCCCAGGATCATGCCATACACACACAGATATATATATATATACACACACACACACACAGAGAGAGAGAGAGAGAGAGAGAGAGAGAGTTTCTCCTCAGTTCTTTGCCCAAACATATATGCAGCTACTCCAGTGGTTGGTGACCCTCTGATTAATATATATTTTATAATAAATATAATATAAGAACATCTGTGTCTGTAACATCAGTTTCACCCCCCCCCCAATAATTACCCCTGTTCATCAATCACCACATCATTCCCTCCCCATAAATTAAATTAAATTGAGGCTGCAATCCTTCCGTCCCCACCCACCCAGCAACAATAAAAAGTGTTTAATTTCTCTGAAAAATCAATCTGCACATCATTTAAAGAGGAAGGGGAAAGGCAGGATTGTAAAGATGACAGAGGAAGGAGTCTGCTAAAACATTGAAAACTGTTGCTCTGCGTCCAGCGTCAAGGGACACAAAGGACTCTTGGCATAGAAGACTCCTCAAGCAAACATGCCAATAAACTCTCGCCTCCACTCACTCGCCCATTCCAAGTTTTTGCACAATCTCCAGAATGAAACGGGGAAGCAAAGAAGCGACGCTTTGGGATCTGTTAATGCAGGTGGGTGCTCAGGTCACACCTGGGGCTAGGAATGCTGCATTAGGGCATGCTGAATTTTTCAAAATCAAAAAATTAGGGGTGCTAAAATGTTGTAAGAGACTTGGGAATTCAAAATATTTCGGTTAAATTAATATTGCTTAGTTTTGTTTGATAAGGAAAATGTGTGTAAAATTGCATAGAAATCATTTCAAATGGTTGCCAAGTACTTGCAATTATATTATAGATTAATATTATTTTTATTTATTAATGTTACTTAGAATTGGCCTGACCTTTTCAGAAGGCAAAATTAAAATTCTTTGGTTTTCCGAAATCAGTTTGTGTGCTTCTTCCTCATATGTAGGCTTACCAAGTTAAATACAAAAAATGATAGCAGATTTGAATCCCACACACCTAACGACGTATTTTCAAGACCCCCCTTACTGAAGAAATTTGCAAAAATTAAGTTTCACTCCCTAAAATGGCACACCCTAATGTCATAATAGACTCTTGAGAGTCCCATGGACTGCAAGAAGTTCAGACCTATCCATTCTGAAGGAAATCAGCCCTGAGTGCTCACTGGAAGGACAGATCGTGAAGCTGAGGCTCCAAGACTTTGGCCACCTCATGAGAAGAGAAGACTCCCTGGAAAAGACCCTGATGTTGGGAAAGATGGAGGGCACAAGGAGAAGGGGACGACAGAGGACGAGATGGTGGGACAGTGTTCTCGAAGCTACGAACATGAGTTTGACCAAACTGCGGGAGGCAGTGGAAGACAGGAGGGCCTGGAGTGCTCTGGTCCAGGGGGTCACGAAGAGGCGGACACGACTAAACGACTAAACAACAACAATGTCATAATACCAGGGACAACTAACATGGTGTTCTCCAGGTGCTGCAAATACAGCTTGCCGCCAACCATTGACGAGGACAACTGCCACCCCTTACATATCGATTACGCATCCGGCCCCCGGGCCTTAGGTTGCCTACCCCTGGGTTAGGAGAACAAATGACACATGCTGTGCACCATTCTTTTTTCTCTGAAGGACTGATGCGCCCAGTCTAATTCACGCATCAAATTTTCTTCAGTCCTGCCAACCCACTGATGGCCACCTGACACCAATTTCTATTTATAATGACATTATTTTCCTAGTGCCACCCTGGTATGTTACCAAATGGAGACCGTAGCCCTGTTTTATGAACAAAGAATATTCGCTGCTGGGGTCATCGAAGAGATTATAACTCCTCCTCCGGCCGCACTGGAATCCTGCCAATTCAGTGTTGTTATATAATGGAAGCAAGAAATGATTTTCAGTGGTGGCCGCAATGCCTTCCGCTCAAACGTAATAAGCGGGGAAAATACTTCCTATTTACATAGCATTTAGTATGCTTCACACAGATTACCTCAGGAATCCTCACTGCACTATTTATATATCGGTGCTGTAAATTGGGAGAGGGGCTGAAGAGGAAAATGGCAGCTTACTTGAGGCCACC